TTGTAGCTATGATATTATACCTGAGACGCCAAAAAATCTACCAGAAAACTCCTAGGAATCATTAACACTTTCAGTAACATGGCAGGTTATAAAATTAATCTACAAAAATCAGTAGCCTTTATAGAAATGTGTATAAATACCAATAACAAGAAATTGTAGAAACAGTACATGGAAATCCTCCCATTCACAATCACATCTCAGAATAAACCTGACCGAAGACATTAAAGAGCTCTACAATGAAATTTTTTAATTTTTAAAGAAAAGAGATTGAGGAAGACACCAGAAGATGGAAGGACCTCCCATGCTCATGGGTTAGAATAATTAATATTATGAAAATGATCATTCAGGAAAAGTCATTTATAGATTCAATATAATGTCAGTCAAAATCCCCATGACATTCTTCATAGAATTAGAAAAAAAAACTTCCTAAAATTCACATGGAAGCACAAAAGACTCCAGATAGCCAAAGCAACCCTGAGCACTGAAAGCAATGCTGGAGGGTTACTATACCAGATCTCAAGCTGTATTACAGAGCTATAGTCATGGATTTGATCAAAACACTTTATATGCTTATATGGCTGTATTAAATTCTCAATAAATTATTTAAAAAAGAAACAAAACAGCATGGTACTGTCACAAAATTAGATCTGTAGATCAAAGAAAATAAACACAAGTACATGCAATTTCAGTCACCTGATATTTGACAAAGGGGGCCAAGAACACCCACTGGATGAAAGACAGCATCTTTAACAATGGTGCTGGCAAAACTGGATCTTCACCTGTAGAAGAATGAAACTAGACCCCTATCTTTCATCTTGCACAAAAGTCAACCCCAAATGGATCAAAGACCTCCATGTGAAATCTGAAACTGTTAGAAGAAAACATTGGCAGTAACCTACAAGATACAGATGTAGGAATGGATTTTTCTAAATCAAACATCAATTGCTCAGGAATTAAGGGTCAACAATCAACAAGTGAGACCTCATTAAACTAAAAAGTTTCTGTATAGCAAAAGAAACAATCAAGGAAGTGAAGATTCAAAAACCCTCAGAGAGGGAGAAAATCTTCACCAGTGACACATCTGACAGAGGTTGAACCTCCAGAATAGATAAAGAACTCAAAGAACAAAGTATCATGCATCAAGTGGACCCAATGAAAAGATGGGCTAAAGATCTGAACAGAGTTTTCAAAAGAAGAATAAAGATGGCTAAGAAATATCTTAAAACGTGTTCAACATCATTAATAATGGGAATGCAAATTCAAACCACTTTAAGATTTCATCTTACCACAGTCAGACTGCTAAAATCAGCAGAACAAATAATGCCAAATGTTGGAGAGGATGTGGGGAAAGAAGAGCTCTCACCCACTGGTAGTGGGGCTGCAAACTTGTACAACCCCTATGGAAATCAGTGTGGAGAACTCTTAAAAAACTAGAAATGAACCTACCATTTGACCCAGTTATACCACTCCTTGGCATGTGCCCGAAGGACTCATCCTATTGCAGAGACACTTGTACATCCATGTTTGTTGCTGCTTTTTTCATAGTAGCTAAGAGATGGAAGCAACCTAGGTGTCCCTCAATTGATGAGTGGATAATGAAAATGTGGTTCATATATACGATGGAGTTTTACTCAGCAGTAAAGAAAGATGAAATCATGAAATCTGCAGGTAAATGGATGGAACTAGAAACTGTTATACTAAGTGAAGTAACAGAGGCTCAAGGAATCAAACAACATATGTTCTCCCTCATATGTGGATCCTAGCACCAGACCCTTTTATGTGAGTATGTATCCTGATGTACCTGATACAACCACAGAACCAGGATAATGGAAAGGAATCTGGGAGGAAAAGGAACCTGAGAGAGAACAGTAGGAGACAGGTGTTACCGAGGGGAAATGGATGAAATGAGGGTATTTAATTGGGAGGCGGGGGAAGGTTATACTAGGAACGTTGGAGATAAAAGAAAAGGAGCTCAAGAGAGGTGGGACCATAGGGTATCATCAAGGGAGAAATGGATAAAATGTGGACAATTTTAATTGGGAAGTCATGGTGGAAGGGTTAGACAAGGAGAGAGAGAAGAGAGATAAATAATACCTAGCTGGTATGAAAAACCACAGGAAATCATATTAGTCCAACAACCTAATGACATATTATACATACAATATCTCTACATGAGTCCATATGTATAGCTAAAGGCTATGTAACAAGAAACAGTGCCAGACAGGAGAAACCTTCCTTTGAGTTGTTGGCCAGGGTAGTCCAAGAGACTCACAAAATTACACAGGCTATTGCCACAGCCCTTGATGGCCTCCCAGAACTTGAAGGTAAGACTGTATCGCTGAAGACAGGGCATACTTCAGAGACAGGATTTGGACCAAAGGAGCTGGAACTGACCTGGAAGCCACTTCCCTGAAGGCTAGCTCTCATAGCTTTGGAGAGCGCTACACAAGGTGCTAAGGGAGAACATCAATTGATGGCCCAACCCCAGCTTCAAGATCAAATAACCACATCAATGACCTACAACACTGGTGCCATACTGGCACTTTTGTCTTGGGGGCAATCAACAGCTACCTAATAGAACTAAAATCCCACTCAGTGGGAGGAAACTTATGTGTGGCACTGTAAACATAGACAAATACACATGGCTGGAGAGGTCACAGAGCTTAGAGAAAACCCAAAGACTGTCACATCCCTAGACTAATGTAATTTCTTGCTATGTACAAAATATGTATTCTTATATTTAGGAACAAATATCTCAGTTACCGCTCACCAAAGAAGCTTCTTTTGCACCATACAGAAACACAACTGGTCACACACAGACATTATGTGTGAATTTCCCAAGTCTAAGTGGCACATCTACAAGGTAACCTCTACACCTAAGGCTCACAGAACATAGAACAAGGAGTAAAGAGAGCACTGATGCATCTCTCAGTTCTCATTACTGAAGTTCCCTCATGCAGCAGAGGGCCAATAACACAAAAGATCACAAATGATCAAAGTGTAGAGACTAAGCGCTTGCAGAATGCTGGTCTGTGGACAGGACTCCTATATGAAAATTCACCCACCCAGGACTCAGGGACCATCGTGGAAGAAGGGGCAGAAAGATGATAAGAGCCAGGGAGGAGGTGCATGACCACATGGAAATAGAGTCCTACTAGCTCCTGAGACCCTACTCATATGAACCTGAAGCAATGGTATCAGCATGCACAGGACCCATGCAAACTCAGACACAAAACCCCAGCATAGAACTGGGGAAATGGATGGTTTACTCCAATCTTAGCTGAAGAAATATTGGCAACCCACTGCTGGGTGAGGAGGAGCTGATCTTCCTAAAGCAAGGGACTCTAGATGGGCTATCTAGACCTCCATAGATGAACTTCCACAGAGGGGCATCTGGGGACACTAACTTGACACACTAGACATTAACACAAATGACAGAATGTATGAATTCCAGTGATGGGGCTAAGGGAGGATGACAGTGGGAAACAGAATATAAGGATGATTAAGATTGATTGAGATATTCTGTATGAAACACATAAAAACCCAATATAAACTTTTTAAAAAAGAAAAATGTTCAACTTTCCTAGCCACTAGTGAAATTCAAATCAAAGCTATATTGAGATTCTCTTATCCCAGTTAAAATGGCAGTTATTAAGAAAACAAATAGCAACAAATGCTGGTGAGGATATGGACAGAAGGGAATCTTCATACCCTTCTGAGTAGAATGTAAACTCATCCAGCCACTATGAAAGTCAGTACTGAAAAAACTAAAAATATATCTTCCATATGATGCCACTAAACTCCTACGTATTTACCGAAAAGGCTCCAAGTGAACACATCCCAGAGACCCCTGCACATCACAGTTTATTGCAGCACTATTTTCTAAGTGATAGAAACAACTTGGGTGGCCAACAATAGAGGAACGGATAAAGACAATGTGCTTCAAGACACGATGCAACAGCTTTTAGCCATAAAGAAAAACAGTCGTGTCTTTTGCAGGAAGATGGACGTAACTAGAGATAATAACATTAAGTACCTTAAGCCAGTTCAAAAGCGCAAACAGTGTCTATTTCCTCTCATTTGCGGTTCCTATACAGAAACATAATATCATACATGTATACATGTCATAAAAGGAGAAGGGGAATTGTCTAGTGTTATAAATGGGACTTGCAGGTCTAGGGTAGAGAGAGTTATGGGGGATATGCTACACACACACACACACACACACACACACACACACGCACACACATACACACACACACCCCTACACACACACACACACACACACACACAATTTATATAATTCTTTTTAATTACAAAAGAAAAATGTCTGACAATCAGCACTTCTGTTTGAAACTTCAGAATATACGAAGTTTTTAACCAATCTTCCTTCTTCTGGCTGCTTTTAGCACTTTTCATGGTCCAATAAAATCTTTCATTAAAAACTTTGCCATGGTACTTTATATTTTACAATTTGGAGACAAATCTGGCATAGACCACACAATCAGGAATCAGCTTTGATTTATTATTACTCTTAATAGAAACTTTCCATTCTAAGGCCTTAAGCATTTTCCATTCCTCCAGAAGCCATTAAGCCGCCCTGTCCTCTGTGCCATCTCGCACTAATCATGCCCCAATTTCTACTGAAGTTTCTGTCCTTTCAAATCTTCTTACATTAAAAGTCATCATTTACTGAACTCAATGGCCTTAAGAAATTCCTGACTATTAGAACATCTATAAAACAAAGCTAACAATATCATTCATAAAACAATTTAAGCTTCCTGTTAAATGATACAAATTCTCTGTTATCACATAACAGTATATAAATACCTAACTGGTGATGATTATAACAAAAGCCCTGAAATGTAATTCTTTGTATTTATTTTAATTTCACTCCTTTCTTCATTTACTTTGTGAGCACCAAAATATCTTGCGTAAAGTCAGCCACAAAGCCATGCCTCACATCAGCCATCTCTGAGTCTCAGCGGGCCAGGACTTACTTGCTGCTCAGGCATCTTCGCAGGGAATAGGAGGCACCCCCACCACAGGTGCGTGAGCATTCGCTCCAAGGGCCCCAGGCATCCCAGAGGCCTTCCCGGTCCTCCTCTGACCTCGCAGTTCTTGAGCTCTGCAAGAAATAAGACAATGATTGATCAGTGAGCACTCCCCTTCAAACCCTTAAACATATATCCTAACGTGAGCATGTGAGTACGTTTGTCCATGATGGTCTTGGAAATGAAACCCTGCATCTATTTTTCATTCAATTTAATGATGCATATATGTTTGGCTAGGGAGATATTAGTCTTAGATTGCTAGGCAATGATTTACGATAAGAGACTGCGCTAATGGACCAATTGAAAATAAAGCCACAGAAATAGGTATCTGGGTTATAGGGTGACCAACTACACTGGTCATAAATGCTCTGAAGTTGTGATCTGCTGTTAACACCTTTGTGAAAGCTGCTGCTTGTAGAGGATTACTGCTCTAAGAAGTTTGATATGCACACACTAGAACTCTTCCCAAGTCTACCACACTATACACAACTGACAGAGGCATCAGATCCCCCGACACTGGAGTTGCTAGCCACCATGTATGTGCTGAGAATCGAACCCAGGTCTTCTGAAAGATAGACCAGTGCTCTTGACCATTGAGCCATCTCTCCAGCCCCTTGTTTCTTATCAACACCATTTATCAACATAGCTGGGCTTGAAAGTTATGGGAAATACATTAAAAGCAGGAATTAGTTTTTTTTCCTGTTGAATGTACGTGAGGCACTGCACTCTTATGACAGCAGCTCCCTGAAATCCCAGATTTTCTGACGACAGGGTCTTGCAGCCTGGTATACTGCATGCCTTTGGTGACATGAGCTGCCAGGAGTTGGAATGGCACAGCAGAGATGGCAGAACCCCTCAGTTACCTGTGTCCTTCCTAAAGAAAGTATTTATTGGGTTGGAGAAATAGCTCTGTGGTTAAGAGCACCCACATGGTGGCTAGCAACCATCCATAACTCCAGTTCCTGGGCATCTGACTCCCTCTTTTGACCTCCGCGGACACTGCACATGGGTGCACTTACATAGATGCAGGCAATACACTCATACACATAAAAAAAATCAAAGTAATAAATAAAATATTTTTCAAAATAGAAAAGAAAGTATTTTTTGAATTCCAAAGCCTAAAGAGTACAATAAGGAGCCCCCACACTCACCACTCCATGGTAAGAAGACATGAAATTTGCAGGCAAATGGATGTAAGTAGAAACTGTTATACTAAGTGAAATAAAACAGACTCAGAAAAGCAAGTGATGTATGTTCTCCCTCATTTGTGAATCATAGCACCAGTCCCTTATATGTGAGTATATATCCTGAAGCAAAAGCAGAAACCAGGAAGATGGAGAGGAAACACAGAGGTAAAGGGAAAGAAGGAGTGCGAAAGAGGGGGATAGTAGGGGACAAGTGTTACTAAGGGGGAAACGGGGCAAATGGCAGCATTCAACTGGGAAGGGAGGAGGAAGAACATATAAGGATCCATGGAGATAAAGGGTAACTCTGGGGGGTGGTACTAGGAGACAAGTACTATAAGGGGGAAATGAGGAAAATTGGGGCACTCAAAATGGAAAGAGAGGAGGGAGGTAGACAGGGAGAGAGAGAGGAAAAAATAATAAAGCTTAGGTGGCGTAAAAAGCCAGAGGGAAATGTATTAATTCAAAACCTCCCTGAAAAATACATAGACAATATCTGAATATTAGTGCATGTGTGTAGCTGAAGTCTATATAACAAGGAACACAGTGCCATGGAGAAATAGCCCTTCAAGTTGTTGTTGATCAGAGTAGTCCAAGAGACTCCCAAAATAACACAGGCTATTGCCAGAGCCCTTGATTACCTCCCAGAACTTGAAGGTAAGATCCTGAAGACGGGACACGGAACTAGGACTTGGAGCAATGGAGCTGGAACTGACCTGGAAGCCTTCTTCCTAAAGACTAACTCTCATAGTTCTGGAGGATACAATGAAAGCTGCTAAGGGAGAAAAATCAATCAGTGGTCCAACCCAGCTCTAATAACCACAACAACTGGCATAGCAAGCTATCTGTATTGGTGCGGTAGCGGCACTTTTATCTAGGAGGTAATCAACAGCTATCTAATTGGACTTAAATCCCTCTCTGGAAGGGAACACATGGGTGGCACTATAAATATAGCCAAATACACATGACTGGAGAGGTCAGAGATCCTAGAGAAAACCTATCTGTGTCATGTCTCTAATGTGTCTTGTCAAAAGAGTCATTAAAAGGCTCCACGGTAGGTTTCCCTGGCTAAACATTTTACTGCGTCACAAGCTGCGAGTTTCAGCACAATTAGACATAACAAGTGCCCACACTTCTCTGAAAGACATCTCACAGTAACGGAAACAAGGCATTGACCTATTTCCCAACTAGAAGATATTCCAAGTTTTCTTTTAGAAAGTGGAATAAGCATAATTCATTTCAACTTAATTCATGTTTATGTTTGAGAAAAGGATTTTCCTCCATTCTGATGGTAGCAATTTTTTACATCTACAACAAGAAACAACATTCTAGCAATTCTTTTCAGATCATTAAAAAATCTAAAATATTAGCTTATTACAGTCTTTGAGCTAGCCTTCAATATGAACAGCTTTTCTGTCTGGCCCTGATAGAACTCTTATTTACTTTTCCATTACTTTGACTATGTGTTCCTTTTGTCTTTCTGCAGCATTTTTAACCTGATGTTTTGGGCTGATCAATTATATAACACTCAAAATGGAACCATACACATAGAAATATGAAAAAAAAATCCCCGTAAGTATACCCCAAAATAGATATATACACAAATATCTCCAACACACAGAGTTGAAGTCTGAAATGAAGAAGCATCAACTCTAAACTGGCTTCACTTAAGAGAGTTTGAACCAATGATCCTTTGAACAATGATCCAAATTGCAATATTCTAGCATCTCTGTTTGACTTTGTAGTAGTTTTACTGTTAGAGAAGGGCCTGCTGGCTGGTCTTCCCAATTTAGTTTGGTTCAGATAGATATGCAGAACAAGTGATTTCTCCTTGCAGAAACAGAAAAGTTGATAGGCACAAGATGGTTCAAGATTGTACTCAGAGCAGAGAAAACAATTTTTTTTTTTTTTTTTGGTCTTTTTGAGACAGGGTCTCGCTGTAGCCCCAGCTGTCTTGGAACTCACTATGTAGACCAGGCTGGCCTCGAACTCACAGAGATTGCCTGCCTCTGCCTCCTGAGTGCTGGGATTAAAGGCGTGCGCCACCATGAAAACAAATTTTAATATACGCTCAGGCTGTGGATCCAACTACAGAGCCTCATCTTCATAGAAGGCCATGTGTTCTGCTCTCCTGCCAATAGATGCCCAAGGTCCTTGTTTTGACTAGTCCCAAGGCACTCCAGCAGCATTGTTTTAGCACTGACTGAATAGGTTACCTGTATCAAATCTCTGCCTTCCAGGGCTCAGGGATCATTGTAGAAGAGGGGGCAAAAAGATTATAAAAGCTAGAAGTGGTGGATGACTACAAGGAAACCGTGTTTTCCTGACAGCTAAGCAGTTACTCATACAAACTCAAGCAATAGTGACAACATGCACAAGATGTACTCAAACTCAAGCCAGAGAAAACTCCAGTTTGGAGGTGGAGAAATAGGTAAGATGCCCCAACCCTGGCTGAGGGACTATTGGCAACTGATAGCTGCTGGGAGGGGGAGAGTCAGCTTTCCTTAAGGGTGGGGTTGTTGGGTAGGTTAACCAAGCTCCAGTGGATAGACCCACTCCCAAGATCATTTGCAAGCACAAATCAGACTCAATCGGCTTTAAAAAAAAAAATAAGCAAGTGTGCAAATAGCAGGGATATGATCAAAATATATTGTATGGAATTCTCAAACATTCAGTAAAAATATTTTTAAAGTACAAAATTTGAATCAAATTTCTGTAGAAAGCTGAGGCTTGCAGTTAATGAGCCATCAATACTGACTTCTTTGAAACCCAAAATTGAAACTTCTATACAGCCAGTATATTTCAACTTTATTTCTAAAGGGTTTTTTGGTTTGTTTTGGTTTGTTTTGGTTTGGTTTTTGAAATTGGATCTCACTATGTAGCCCTAGCTAGGTCATAACTCACTATATGGAGCAAGCTGGCCTCAAACTCATGAAGATCTACCTGCCTCTACCTCCCAAGTCCTGGGATTAAACTATGTGCCACCATGCCTTGCCCAAATATGAAATTTTAATTTCAATGTTTCAAAAAGGGTATTATGAGCCGGGTGTGGTGGCACACGTTTTTAGTCCTAGCACGTGGGAGGTAGAGGCAGGAGGATCTCTGTAAGTTCATAGCAAGTTCCAGGTCAGCTAGGGCTGCAGGGAGACCCTGTTTCAGAAAAGACCACAAAAAAAGGGTATTATGGACACTATTAAACACAGTCTCAAGAGATTATCCCTGAAATCACAGATAAAAATTTCAGTAGCAAGATCAGATAGGAGAATGCCTTAACTATTAATATCAGTGACAGACATCTAAGCAACAACCATGAAGTTATGGTTAAGCCAGTGTTTCACCAGTTAGGAGCGTTTTATCACAAAAAGTCAAAGGGGGTCTTGTGTCATTAGGCTGGTGCAACTCTCATCCCTCATCAGAGAAGCTTCTTTATACAGCAGATGGTGGCTAGCACTGGTCAAAGTGAAGAAAGCGTGACTATGGAGAGCTCAGCCTGAGATAGGACATCTGTGTCATAACTCCTCCCCACCATGGCTCGGGGAATATTGCGAAGGAGGGGCAGAAAGGTTGCAAGAGCCACAGATAGGGGAAGATTGCTGCAAAATAAGGTTTTCTGGCCATGACAGGGCTATCGTACTCATAAGCTCACAGCACCTGTGGCTGCCAGTCTAAGACCTCTACAAGGTCATCATGCCAGCCAACATCCCAGCATGGAGAGGGACAGGGCTCACCAGACTCCACCCTTAGCTGAGGAGATCCTGCCAGCTGATGCCCCTGGGGGAGGAGAGCCAGTTTTCTTCAGTGGTGTGGCTCACGGTGGTTGCCTCTGCTTGAGGCTGGTGCTCTACATGCATGTGCATATGTGTGACACCAATTAGATTCTGTGGGTTATT